CCTCTGACAGAAAGTTGTCCAAAATATCTCCGTAGAAGCCTTGAATGGCGGCTGCTACCTCTAAAAATGTTTTCAAAGTCATGCTCCGCATGGCTTTTGGATGAAGTTCATACAAGTTGTATCCTTTCGAATTTTTTTCTGAAAATCGATCTTCTAGAGACACATTTGCGAAAAACACCGGTGGCGCATGTACGGAGACAGGACCCCCCGTGCCTTGCCCCCTCTGTCCCGCTGGCTGGCGGCGCCCATGCTGCTTGTCTTTATTTGTGTATGGTTAGTGCGAGGCAGTAAACTTCCCGTATTTCAGTATTTCTGATATTTTTGACAACTTTAACGTTTTGCTTTTCGACGATGACGTAATTTTACTAGAGAATTTGTTTTTTACAATAGTTTTTCATTTTACTGTAGGTAACATCAAAAAATGAGTATCAGCAGAAAATCACAAACAAAAAAAAGACTTTTTGAGGTTGAAATTTATAAACATAGGTATCAGCTGTCAAAATTATGAACACAAAAATAAGGTAATACTCTACACTTACTACAGTCTTCCAATAACTGTTATTTTCTTGAGAAAATAGTGCTGATGCACTAATAAAATAACGTCGATCCTTAATACTGCGAGCAGGGGCGGCTTCTCAATAAGTGCGCTCGTGCGCGCGCACTGCCTCCAAAAACCAAGCAAGAAAATAAAATTAAAATTTTGGAAAGAAAGAAACTTCAATTAAAAAATACCTACCCAATTTTCTAAATTAGGATAAATATCTACTCATTTTTCTATTTTTAAATTCGCACGAACGGAACGAAAGCGCGCCCTGCGCCTGTCTTGTATATTTTTTTCTCCCGCTTGGTTATGCTGGTGGTCCGGGTGGTCGGTGTGGAATCGTTCGGCGCTCTGGGTAAATGTGTTTTCTCGCTGTGCGATTGATCGGGAATATACGGTAAGTCGCCCGATGAAAGGGATGCGCCGTGCGCTATTTGAATACACACTCCCAATGTTGTTTCCACTCAATCGAGAATATTTCGATGTTTTTTCACCATTTTGGCGGTTTGACAACTTTGTTGTTCGCGTTTTTTTTTTAAATTATAAATTTCAATATCAATTATGTATTATGGCTAGAATACAAACATTCAAGCCTCATTTAAATACATATATTTTTGTTTTCGATAATTTTTCCTAAAGTAAAAAGAAAAAAAATCAACATACAAAATAAATGTAAAACAGGACGTGGCACCTCCAAAAAATTTTCCAAGAGCGCACAACCACACTAGGTTGCCACTGGCCGCCACTGACTGCGAGGCAGTATTTAATATTTCGAATAACTCTCTGATACATTTTTACAAGTTTCAAAGCTATTTAAAAATTCTGCATTATGTATTATTTTTTTTGTCTTTTTTCAAACAAGATGTCATTGGTTTGGTCAATTTGGCAAAATTCTTTATTTCTGTAATAGCCTACTAATCCTAAAAATGATTTTATTTCCTTCACCGTCTTTGGTATTGGGAATTTTTTAATTGCCACTATTTTTTTGGATTCGGTTTTATTCCATTTGGTGTAATTACGTGTCCTAAGAATTCGACTGTCTTGTGTAGGAATTCTGATTTGTCTAATTATATTTTTAAATTAAATTTTTCGAGTCCCTCAAATACTTTCTTTAAATTTTTCACATGTTCATGAAGTGAAGTGGAAAAAATTATTATCTCATCCATTTATACTAGACATATTCTATTCTGTAATCCTAGTAATCCATTATCCATCACTCTTTGGAATGTTGCTGGTGCGTTCTTTAATCCAAAGGGCATTCTGTTAAATTCGTAATGACCATTTTCAACATTAAATGCTTGGGTATCAAATTTTCATGCATCTCGACTTGATGAAAGCCAGAGGCTAAATCTGGTGTCGTAAAATAATTACTACGACCAAGTCGATCTAATATATCAGTAATATTAGGTAATGGATATCTATCATCAATAGTTTTTCGTTTATCTTTCGATAATCAACGACCATTCTCAATTTTTATATGCCTACGGTATCTTCTCTTTTAGGTACTATCCACACAGGGGATGACCAGGGACTACAGGATGGTCTGATCCTGTTATCATCTAACATTTTCCCTATTTGAGAATTTACTTCTTGTTTATGCACATGAGCATATCTATAAGTTTTCGTGTGCACTGGTGGTTGTTTGAATTTCATGTTTAACTTGATTGGTAAATGTCAATTTTTCGTTTGGCTTGTGGAAAATTTTAGGAAAAGCTTTAATTACGTGTTTTAAAGCATCAAAGTTTGAATGATTAATACGTAGCGACTTTATAGGGTCATTTGCATATTCATCATTTTCTAATGAAGTCATTTGTTCTATATTAAATATCTCGAACTGTTCATCAGCATAAGGTGAACTTATTTCCGCTAAGTTATTTATGTTAAACGGGACAATAATAGGCTTACTCATTAAGTTGTGAACTTCTAAAGGCATCATTTCATTAATGACTGTTGCTATTGTCGAAGGAATATAATATGTTTCATTTTTCATCGGTGGTGTAAGAATTTCAATGCCATCAGCTATATTTGCATTCAAATAACATACTTGAATTGAGTTGCTTGGAATCTCAAAATTTTGATTTTCGAAATCTGTTCTATATTGAAACGGAATTGTTGTTTCATTATTAAAAAGAACCATATTAGAAAAAATCTATATTTAAATTATTTTCTTGTAATGCTTTGATTCCAATAATTCCATCAAAATAGTCATGGAAATTGTACATTATCATTTCAATGTTGTTTTGAATATTATATTCTTGTAAAATTGGAACATTTATTTTTCCTTGGGCTTTTCTTGTACCCATACAAGTAGATAACTTGATAGATAAGCATTTGAAGTTAATGCTGACTCATTGCATCCAAGGCTTGTAACTAAAAATGTTCGTCTTTAGTTTGGACTTGATTTTCTTTAAAATTTGTCTCTTCATAATAGTTTTGATTTTCGGAACATTCTTCAGTTTCGAAATTTTCGTCGGGGTCAGGTAATTCAATTTCAAAGATATTATTAATCTCTTCGATTGTATATCTTGATGGGCCTGCATTTGGATCAGGTTTGAAATAGTTATTTGTCTGTATTGATGCTGATTTTGTGCTCGTGGTTGCACTGAAACTCCGGACATATGTGTGGGTTTCGAAAATTGACGATTAGTTTTTTCTCGAAAGGCATTATTGGAATTTTTTCCAAAGGTTCCTGAACTAGTAGGAAACTTTGTTGGTACATAGTCCTTTTTAGGTGTTATATTAATAGGTTGGGATGGAAATTGTGGTTTTTGTGATACATAGGATGTTTTTTGTGTATATTGAGGTTTTGTTTTGTTGAGTATAGGTTTGTTGTGAACGAAATTGCGTATTTTGATTTTTGAAATTTGAAAAATTTTGATTAGTAGTATACTAAATTTCATGTGGTTTTCAGCTAGTTGATAATTTAACACAAATTTGTTAGCTGCATCCAACGTTTGTGGATTTTCAACCATTAAAATTGCTCTTAATTCGATTGGTACCAGATGTGAATCAACAAAAGGTCAAAAAAGTGAACATAAAGCCACATAAATGATATATTCAGGAAGAACTTAGAAAATTAAAACCAGGACGATTTACAATAATTTTCAAATTTCGCTTTAGTAGTGATACAATAATAATTTTCCTATCGATTTTATCACACAAAAATAATAATGTATCACAGATCCTCTTGATTAAAATATGCATTTTCCAAGTGCAGCCTAGAATGGAAAATCGGGAAACTAAACTTCGCTCAAGCACGTTTGCCATTGAATAATGTACATATTTAAACTCGACGGACTTGGTTGTTTCCCGTACCGAACATAAAGGCTTTTGTACTATTTTACCCGCACTATAATCGATAAATATTCGCAAAGCTATATTGGTAGCTGAGTTTTATAAAAATCTTGTTTTTAGGCTCAATAGGGCAATTTATAAAACTCGGAGATTTCATCGCGGCTTGACGTAATATTATTTTCGTGGTTAGATCGAATAATCAGATAGACATGGTAATTTTAGGGTAATTTTATGGAGTTTGGAAAGGTTCTCCACTAAAGAGCTGAGTAAATATTGCATGCATAATGTGGCAGCTTAAATCCCATTATAATCAAGCTTCTCGATTATATTTTTTTAATTTGATATGCTATAACAACTATCCATTATTTTTAAGTTAAATAATGGGTCACCTTACCCATATACCATTATTCAATACTTTGGTTGAATCACAAATTAGAAAGCATAGAAATAGTTGTCTCTGTACGATTTAATCATACTAAATGTCTTTTAAAACTATTGTCATTCTTTAAAATTGGAATTGTTTGAATTTTTTGGGAATCGTCACGAATTCCGCTGATCCACTAGAATACTCTTTACTAACATCAACTTTCATTGAACTAATTGTCTTGTCCAAATTTAACTTATTGGTTTTACCTTTTTTGATACAGCAAATCTCTCATTTATTATCCTATGACTGAAACTAACAAACTACGTGCATTATTCACCTTGTGAAATTTTTTTCAATACTTTGCACTTAAGATTTCGACTCAAAGGTTCAGAACATGATATCAGCTAAATCTGGTATTTGGATATTGAAAATTATGGTATAGATGAAAATTTCTACTCAAAGTTCATTGGAATTTTTTTGGTAAAATTCGAACCAGTTCACTAAACTTATAAATGTCTAAAAATAAGAAATTTTCTGAAAGATGTTCTCACTAGTCCATTATTCAAAAAAACCCAATGTTAAAAAAAAAAAAACATCACCACCTAGTGGTTTAACAAGCTGACCTGGATTGCATTCATGAATAAAAATCGACTACTAAAGTATACCCTGACCTACATCCTACGTTCTCGACCAGTTTGTAGGTGGTTGTTTTCAAATAGCGAACATTTTTCTTAGACAACTTTTATAAATAGAGTTTCTATATTGTTTCAGGACTAGGAAAACACATCTCCTAACAAAATGGGCTGTTTTGGGAGCAAAGACAAATTGTCAAAAGAAGATATGGATTTTTTAAAATCGCACACCAGATACGACGAGAGCACTATCAAGGAATGGTATAAAGGATTCAAGGTTAGTAAAGAGTTATTGCAATAATAATAGCAGTTTTGGTCGACTATGATTATGGTCTCTTGGTTGACAACAGTTTTTAAAAGCACTGAAAATCGTAAAGCACTTTTCAAATCGTATGTAGATGTGCTCGTTATGAGAAAATACGATAGTAATCAGTAATGATCTATATTCAAGCATAAAGATTACCCTAAGTTGACAAGATTGAAAGTGCAGAAAAAGGGAAAACTTTGCATTTCTCTATAGATTCATTTCAGTATAATTAAGTGATAAATGATTACAACCATGTTTTAAAATTCTGTTTCGCTGTTGAAATGATCGAACGTATAATTTATCATAAGAATCACACACGATTTTCAAGAATATCTCTGATATCCAAGTTGCTACACTCCAGTCGTGAAAACAAATTCAGTTCAAGAGAAGTTCGTTAAAAGCCAAGATCAACCCTCTCGAGTACAATAGGCTTTCTAATGAATTTTCTTCCGAACCGTTGAAGTCATGAAGATAAGGGCAATTATTGAGGCTCAACTCGACTGCCCAAGCCTCTAAAGTTTGGCTATTCCTACTAGAAATACAAAATTTATTAAACTTCTCCAGCCTTTTCACCATACCAATTTTATCTCAAACTAATTTATATTTATTGCTTAGCTTGTTTTAAAAAATGAAGCCTGGCAATTTTTTAAATTGCCGCGATAACAATAAAACTTTACTGATTGGCTGCATCGACTTTTTTCTTTTAATTTTGCAATATTGCAGGTACTTAGTGCCAATTTCCCTGGAGCATTGATTCCTCTCTGGCTGTCGCAGTTAATTTCCTTCCATTAGATTCAGAAAGGAAAGCAAAAGGAAAATTCGTTTACCGATTTAAAGAGATCACGCCGGAGTTCCAATTTCCACTTAGTTTCTTGGAAATATCTTCTCAATGTCATCTTGGCTATTGCTCTGGGACTAATATTTGAAGTGAATTTGAGGTACTTACACCCAAGGTCGTTTCCATTTACTTCAATCCAATTTAACGTTTTCGATCTAAATAGCTTGGATGAGCTCACGCCATTTGTTCCAAAAATCATTTTACGATGCGTTTATTTCCGGCATCTAATTTGGACAAAATAATCGACTTTTTTTCCTTTAATCGACCCCATAAACTCGAAATTAATAGTCGAGAATTTCATTAGCGCCTTTGCAAAACAAGATCCAACCATACTAACCCGAACTGGGCACAGTGATTTACGGTTTAGGCTTACGTTTAATGGCTATTAACACGATTTATCGGTCTGGTCATTTGTGGTATTCTAAAATGGTCCGCGATGTTATTATAGTTTTCGTTTACATTGTTGGCGATTTTCCTGGTGAATAAGTTATAAGTTATTGATTATAGATTCAAGAAAGCTGTCGACGTGACAAAATTTGTTTGCAACATTATAGGTGAATAGTAAGAAGACACTAAACCTTTATAATGTGATAAGAGTAGTAAAACTTTCCTATGCTCGGGTGCGCTTAACCCTAGGCAGCCACTTTGCTGCCTGTCTTTATTAATTCCCATAAAAACTTATAGTAATAACGGTAACGCTTTCAACACCCGGCATAACAGCAGCAGCTTTCTTGGAACTTTACAGAAAAAATTGCGGAATTGATGGAACGGCTCCAACAAAATATAATTAAGGCTTTTAACACCCTACTATCAGAATTTATTATTGTCACGGATTCCGGGTTCACGAAAACTTACTTCACATACAATAACCAACTTTTATAAAACAACATTGATTTCATAACAATCCGCTTATCACTTATCGAAAGGTACACAACCAATTCCATATTAAAACTACAAAAACTGAAATAGACTAACTCTAAACTTATTACTACGCGTTAGTTAAATGCCTATAACCGACACGACGTACTCCGGATCCATCTACATTACCACAGAACACTACACTAGAAAAACCCAGCGCCCGACTCGAACATAATAAAATTCCTTGAAAAGTCGGGCGATTTTAGGAAAATATTTCTGAGTATACAGGGTGGCCTTGACTTCCAATCCAGCGGCCCGGGAACCTTTCATCATCAGAACAAATACCTCTAAGGCACGGTCCACAACAAAAAAGAAACATTTCTGAGAAGTAAAAGAAATAAAACTTGAATGGACAAAATAAGAGATACAGAGGATTTAAAAAGTTAAATCACGGATTCTGACATGCATCAGTTCCTTCCTCTTTGAATCCTGCACACAACCTATTTGGTGTGATATCGGTGTTATCGTCATAACTATGTTGACAGTTCACTGGTGGGACTTTGGTGTATCTTAATAAAGACAAGATGCTGCGATTTTCCCAGAGAAAATAAATAAATAAATAAATATAGGGCAAGATCTTCGTTTAAAAATCTTTTGAAAAATATTTCCATTGAGGTTTCCACGAAAAAGATGGGGTCCGTTGTCATTCAACTACCCTAGTAAAATTTGGATTTTGATCGGCGTAAAAATGTAAATTATGCCGGTTCGCGTGACCGTTATATTAGAAAGTCGCCTCATCGGTAAACAATACAATATTAAAAAACCGTACATCTTCTCGAATTCGAACAACAATAACAGAAATTTGTCCTATTAGACTGTCAGATAGTGACATATTTAGGTGCCCCATTTTCGCATACAAGCCTGGCAGAGGGTTGAGAATTATATCGATTTTGAGTAGAATGAACATATTTTCACGAGTGGCTCCTGGGGATAACATATGGAAAATTCGATTTTACTTATGTTACCCTAAAATGTACTTTTCCATTCGCGACACTCAAGCCAATATGTTTTCTTGTTACCAACTTTGTAGATCTTCATCCTTCCGATGGGCTTGTGAGGAAAAATCGCCCAAAATCTCGATTTTTCCTTAGAAATTCATCCCCCTATTTCAAACCTTTAGCCACCTGCAACAATTACTTCTTTTGTTTTCACGAAGCCAGGATTTATTATTTATTCCTTTGGTGAACACGGCTTGCGAGAAAATATGGGCACCAGGACGTCTTGCATTTCTGTTATGGAAAATCGAATTTTCCATATGTTATCCCCAGGAGCCACCCAAGAAAATAACTTCATCCTACTCAAAATCGATTCTTGGATTGTATAATAAATTCATTTTTATTACATACCATAGGTAATATGCACAAGATGTCATCAAATATCACAAGGTTATCCGAATTCCGAATAATTAATAACATTGTCATGCCAACGAGTAACATTCTTTTCCATAGTCGCCTATGTATGCTGTGAATAAAAATTAACCGTGGAAAGGAAATTGAATGTTTTTTCTTCGTAAATATCTAAAAAATCGTCAGGATTCGTTTTTTAATTCTGCATCAAGTAGTGGCCAAATATACAGGGGGCTCCATTTGCAAAAAATGCTAATTAATTTGAAATTTGTCGTATTTCGACGATAAATTGGAACACTGTACCGTGCATTCAATTTATCTTGATAACATTTTAATTCGCTGTAACTTTTTTGTTTCTGAAGGTATCAAGGTAAACAAAAAAACAAAATGTAGGGTTGGTAGCCAAGTTTTTTTTCAAGGTACCCATAAAGCAAAACACTATCAATTTTATGACATATGAGCCTACATTATATTTTTTCAAATGGAACACCCTGTATATTATATATGCGTTTGATAGAATATCTTATTTCGATTACAATGATATAATACACTGTATATTTTAGTCCACTCGTTTTTGACAAATCGGCAAAAATATGATATTTTTATATGCACTATCAATGATTCTCTCCCCAAATATCAGATCGCTGCCTAATAAGTTTCACTTCAAAAGTTTCATATATTTTTGCCGATTTGTCAAAAACGAGTGGACTAAAATATACAGTGTATTATATCATTGTAATCAGAATAAGATATTCTATCAAACACATATATAATATACAGGGTGTTCCATTTAAAAAAATATAATGTTGGCTCATATGTCAGAAAATTGATAGTGTTTTGTTTTATAGGTAACTTGAAAAAAAACTTGGCTACTAACCCTACATTTTGTTTTTTTATTTACCTTGATACCTTCAAAAACAAAAAAGTTACAGCGAATTAAAATGTTATCAAGATAAATTGAACGCACGGTACATACATAATTCCTCAAACGTAAATATGTTGACACTAGAAACTTTAGACCTTTTTCGACTTACTCCATACAAATAATTGTCCTTACATTTTTTGTGGGTATTTTTTTCTAGGTCAGAAAAATATTTTTTTTCTCCTAAAATACTGGAACAAGTCAAGTAAAATGTTGGACTCTGATATAGTGAACTAAGGTGAACTGATAATATATGCAAAACAATACATGACAGGGTCTCTCATTTAAAAAAAAAAAAACGATTTTTATATCGTCACGCTAGTGTGGGCCACCCTGTATGCTGAAAAATATTTGCCTAAATAAAGTCTCACGAATAGTATATAGGTTGACATAATGAACGAAATTCCTAACCTTTTTAGTTTAGAACTTAGCCTGACGCGCGTCTAGTTACTAACCCTGTAGGTACCTATATTATAACTATCTGTGCGATGTAGACGGTGCACAGAGCTGTTGTACTGAGTATTTTAAATACTTAAGTACAAAAATATACTCAAGTATTTGACTTAAGTACTAATCCAAACATTGGTACTTGTACTTGCAATTTCAAGTTTTTCAAATTTTACTTGTACTTAATACTTAAAATATCAGTCAAGTATATTTTACTTGAAAGCTTTTGAAAATTAGTACTTAAGTGATATAGTCCAACAAATACCATTTTAAAGTCACGTGATTTTTCTCTATCCTTGTTGAATACATCTCAAACAGCGGTGATAGCAAAATTGACAAAAAATTTGGTGTCTAATTATTGTTCATAATATTCTTACCTGAAATAGAATCCATCACTGTCATCAATTAATTTGTCAAAGAAATTTTGGAAAATGATACAACGAACAAACACAGCTAATAATTTTGACTATATTAACCTTTTTCCAACTCGAAAAGAAGC